CTTGGGTTCTCCTAATCCAAGTCCGGTAAAGAAAGCAACACGTCCGCTGGAGCGAGCGTGTCTCACCCATCACCACACAGAGATGGAGAGCCACTGACGCTGAGCTGCAGCGTACATACAACCTCGAGCTCTGGCTTAGGGACTCTTCTGAATTTTCAGAAGTGGCTGGAATACTGGCAGGCTAGTCTTTACTGGCCAGTTCCCTTGACTTAATTCTGATCCAAATTGCCCGTGTGAGTCACAATTCCTGGAACCAAGAGCCACCGTGGAAAGCAGCCTGGGAAGGGGACGCCGGCTGTGCAGTGGTCCCAGAAATAAACATGAACACTGGAAGGAGCAGCATGCTCCCCAGACAGAGGCTGGTTGGTTTATCCCCCAGCTCTGAGTAGCTGTTGTCGTTAAAATGAGATTATATTTAGGTTTCTAATGTTTTCTAAGTATCCTTTTGCATTTACTCTGGACTAATCAATTTTAAATTTAATTTTCCAGATATTTAATTGCATCTTGCTCAACCATTAAGTACTGTGATGTATTATCGGAGTGAATTCGAACCTACCAAATGTCATGTGTTTGTGCCAAGTAGTTATTTTCAGCAGTTTTCCCATTCACTTGTTCGGGATACAGAAGCATCAATAACTTCTAGACGTGAAAAATGTATCGAACAAAGTTCAGCTCAATAGCACTAATCCACTTTTACATAAAAATCAATTGCTCCCTTTTTGGCATTCAATTCCATCTTGGTCCCTCATCAATATCTACTCATGTGACATTCTTGAGGGGAAAAAAACAACCAAGACAGCTGAAATGTACCACTATTTCTATAATAAAAACATGAGAAGCACATACATCTGTCAGAAGACATCTTCTCAGTATAATGAAGGAGTACTCTGAAGCCAGAATAGTTGGTTAACTTGTACATCTTACCAGCTCTTGGCTGGAAGTGTACAGGAGAACCCAGTATCTTGAATAATTTCTTCACCACTTTCATAATAATTCTGATCCATGGGAGACAGTGGTGAAGTTGTGACGGGCCCTGGAGGTCCTCTGACCTGCACTCATGCACAGTTTTCTCCCACGCAGCCCTCCCAGTGTCACAGAAAAGAACAAGACCGACTCCACGCTAAATCCATTCCCTTAGCGCTCACCCTGTGCTCGGCTTCCCGTGCTGAGTCATGCTGCTTCTGCACCTTTTGTAAAAGAAGGTTGCCTAGAGCCTGAAACACACAGAACAGCTCATTCTCAAGACTCTGACCTTTAAAGGTGCAACATTTTCCCATTCATATAGGGATTGAAAGTTGCAGAATAGAAAATAACATTTGTCTTACAGGAACGCTACAACTTGGCCCACGTGGACAGCTGCAAGAACAAAAGATTCCAACACCAAGATGTCTGCAAAAACCAATGACGCCCCCTCCCATTTTTAGTATAAAAGGAGCCTGAATTCTGACTTAGGGAAGATGGTTCTCCAGAACATTGGTCTGGCATCATCTCTGTCTGCTGGTTTTCCGAATAACGTTGCTATTTCTTGCCCCAACACCTCATCTCCTGATTCACTGGCCTATTGTGCAGCGAGCAGAATGAGTTTGGATTTGGTAACATTATCACCTTTTATTTCTCATTGGATCAGTTGTGAAAGAGTGCATTTGGCTGATCCTGGGTCCACAGCCCTGTTTTCTGGGTCCCACCCATCCTGTCTTTACATAATACACCCCAAGCATAAACCTCGGGTCCCCAGGATCAAAAACAAGTCTCTCAGTAGTTCTGTCTGCTAGAACTCTCTTTGTGATAGAACTGTCCTTTATCTGTGCTGTCTAATGTGGTCACCATTGGCCACAATTGGCTGGCAAGCACTAGAGATGTGACTGGTGGAACTGAGGTAGGGAAATGTTAATACCATGTAATTTAATCAACGTAAGTGTGTATATCCATGCGTGGCTAGTGCTACCATCTTGGACAGCAGAGCCTGGAGCAGCTGAGAGAGAACAGTGTCCGGTCACCGGGGCTGCGGCTCTCAAACCAAGCTCTAGACGTGGTTGCCTTCAAGCCTTGTTCTCTAATCCGACAGGCGTGTGTTCTTCAGACTCAAATTCCTTAAGCACTAGGTAACTTTTTCGAAAGCCTGTGCAGAACTCTCATGGCCTAAAGAACTAAACTCCAGCTTCTAAGACTGGCATTCCAGAGTCCTCAAAATTTAGACCCTCTTTGTCCCCTGAAGTTCCTCTTTCCAAGTGACCATTGCTGCCAAGGTGGTCTGTTCACTGTGCTCTGAACACATTCACGATTTTCTTCTCTGCTCACTCCGGTTTTCTCACCTGGGGTGCCCTCCGCACATCTGGGCATCAAACTGGCAAGTACTGCCATCTTAATGATATTACTTCTTCAATTCATTAATATGAGATATCTTTCCATTTATTTTGGTCTTCTTTAATTTTTTTAAATACATATTATTGTTTCCTTAAAAAATAACTTTTAAAGTTCCCTGTTAAATGTATTCTTAAGTGTTCTATTCTTTTTTGATCTAAAAAACAGAAATCACTTCCTTCATTCAGTTTCACTGCACTTCTCGCTAGCTCGGAGAAATGTGATTGGTTTTTATACACTGATCTCGTATTGCTGCGACTCGGATGGACTTATTTATTATTTCCAGCCATTGTTAGTGGGTTCCTTAAGGTTTTCTATATACAAAATCACATCTTCTCTAAATAGAGATGATTCTGCTTGCTTCCGAGGTAACACCTTTCATTTACTTATTTTTTTTTCTTGCCTTAGTGCCCTGGCTAGAAATCCCAAGACACAAATGAACAGAAGTGGAGAGGACAGCCTTTCAGATCTTCAGGGGAGAAACTGAAAGCCGTGAGCTCTGGGCTTTTCTTAGATGCTTTTTATCAGCTGAGAAGCTTTTCTGCTAGTCCGAATTTGTTGAGGATTTTTATCATGAAATGGTGCTGAATTTTGCCAAATGTTGTTTTCTGTGTATTCAGATAATTGCATTTTTTCCCTTTATCTTATTTATATAGTGAATTACATTGACTTTCAGATGTTAGACCAATCTTGCATCCTTGGGATAAATCCCACTTGGCTGTGATACATGACATTTTATACACGTTACTGGATTCTGTTAGCTAGTATTTGCTTGAGGATTTTTGCGTCTATACAAGAGATACGGTCTCTGATTGTGATACCTTTGTCTGGATTTGGTATCAGAGTAACACTGGCCTCATAGAGTATGTCTGAAGTTATTTCCAACTCTTGCAAGTTTTGAAAGAGTTAGTGATGAATTGCTATTAGTTCTTCTTTAAAAGTTTGTTAGAATTCACCAGGGAAGCCATCTGAGCCTGGACTTTCCTTCACAGGCAGTTTTTAAAAATCACTAACTGAATATCGTTGTTTGTTTTGCTCTTTGAAGGTTTCCTGTCTCTTCCTGTGCTAGTTTCGGTAGTAAGCCTGGGGATCTGCTTCCTCTGATCGTGTGGTTTGTGGTGCAGTTATCCACTGCGTGCCCTTATAATCCTTTTTCTGTTTGAAAGGAGTATCTCCTCTTTCTAATACTGATAATTCGGGTGTTCTGTCTCTTTTTGACCAGTTTAGCTAAAGTCTACCAATTATGTTGGTCTTTCTAAATAACCAACTTGGCCTTTCTCTTCTCTATTGTATTTTCTCTTCTTTACTTCATCAATTTCTCCTCCTCTTTTTTCAGTTTCTTAAGGTAGGAGATTAGGCTAGATTTGTGATATTATTTTCATTATTAATATAGGCATTTACAGCTCTGAGGGTCCGATAACCGCAGATTGAGCTGCACCCCATAGTCTTGACATGTTATGTTTTCACTGATTCATCTCACAGTATTTCGCAATGGTTCTTGTGATTTCCTCCATAGTTATTGGTTATTTAGCAAAGTGTTGTTTAAAATTTTCCACATATTTTAAATATCCCTCCCAAATATTTTGCTATTGATTTCTAATTTCAACCCATTGTGGTCACAGAACATATTTTGTGTGATTTCAGTCATTTTACATGTACTGACTGTTATTTTATGGCTGAACACATGGTCTGTCCAGAGAATGTTCCACGTGTGCGTGAAAAGAACTCGTGTGATGCTGGTGTCTGTTCATGGCAGTTGGTTCAAACTGGTTTTAAAGTCTTCCATAACCTTGTGGATATTCTAATTCTTCTATCCATGATGGAAAGTGTGGTACTGGAACCTCTGACCATCATTGCTAAATTGTCTATTCTTTCCTCAGCTTTTTTTTTCTCTTTTGCCCCATGTGTTCGGGGCTCTGTTTCTAGGGGCGTATGTCCTCAGAATGGTGGTATCTTCCTGGTGGATTGTGGACAATAAAACATTTCTGTTCTGTCCAGGAACGTTTTTGCTTTAGTATCTAATTTATCTGACACTAGCCCAGCCTCTGGAACTCCCTTGGTTCTTGTTTTCAGAGCACATCTTTCCCACCCTTTCACTTTCAACCGATTTGTAGACTTGTATCTCAAGTGAGTGTCCCATAGACAGGGTACAGCTGGGTTTCATTTTTTTGTGTTTGTTTGTTTTTGAAATGCAGACTGACAATCTCTGGTTTTTGATTAGGTTTTTAGACTAAGTTTAATGTGAATATTACTGAGTCAGCTCCCTAAGCAGGAAGAAGCACATTTGAAAAACAAATAGAAAACATACATGGTATCCACATGCTACGTAATTTTACAGCTACACAACCGCTGAAGACCATTCGGGGGGGTTTGTTTTACTGTGACATTTCAGGTCATCTTAAACCTATTTCCCGTTTTGCTATCACACGATAGAGGGACATGAACTTTAAACTGTATCGTGAAGAAGACGAGCTTTAGTACCTGGCCAGGATCTTGTCCACATCCACGTCAACTTTCTCTACATAAAAGAACAGGAAGAATTCACTGCGAGAATAAAAACAGGGGCCAGAAGCTTGGCAATCCTAGAATTTATCAAAACAACACCCACACACACATATGTTATAAATACATTCGCTTGCCTTTCCCCACACCTCTCCACTTGGTTTCTGGATTCTAACTTACTGAACACCGAGTCCCCTTGCTGGCTTCTACTTTAATGTTGATGACTGACACAGTCATCAAGGACAGCCTTGATTTTCTGTTTCAATTTCTGTATGCTGAAGGATGCAAAATCCAATTTCCACTCTGTGTGTCTACTTCGGAGAAGGGCAGCCCCCAAGCTCCATGACTCACTTGTCATCCTCGACATTCCTGCATTTGTCCTGGCCCTGACACCCGCCAGGTAATCTGGGATTTATCCCCGCTGTTTCCTGGGGGCCTGGTTTTATGTTAGCAAACCTCAGGACTTGTTCATACAGTCAGTGAGAAACAGGCTTGCTTAAGTCCATAACCCCCATCTCTGAATAATTCAAACTATGATCCTCAGAAGCTCTGTCGGTCCCCATTCAGTAGAAAACACACTTCTGCTTCTGCAACTGGGATACTTCAGGGTCATACTATTTAAATAAGCATGACAAAGACTTTGGTTTTGCCTTGTTTTGTGGTATTACTTTCTTTGCAAATACAGTTTGAAGCTGGTAAAAGTGTTCTGGGTGGCCTGCTAGAGTGACACTGGGTTTTGAAACTACACCGTTGCTCCTGCCTGTAGGGCATTTAGAGTAACGTCCTACCTGGAGCACGGCCCCGGGCGCCGCGTCAGCCGACTGCTTACCTACGGGTCAGCGCGGGATCTTGAAGCCCTGCCACCCCATCCCCGCCTGCCAGGGGCCGTCCCCAAGCCAGCCTGGCATGTGAGCACCTGTCATTTCCCAGCTGTTCACGTAATGACACAGCTTCAAACTGCGCTTCAGCAAACTGCCTCTCCTTACAATCCTTCGGCCTTCCCGGATCTCACAGTGCACATTCATTTCAGCCGTAAAGCACAGAAACATATCCTTACTGCCAAGCTAATTGTGGATAGAATCACTCCCCCATCGGGATCCAAAAAGACACTCACTCATATTTCGTGGTAATTTCATCCTTCCTGCTCTCGCACGGGATCTCTGGCAGTGGCCAGAGGCACACAGACCCCTTCATCTATTACCAAGAAAGCCAATGTTAAGTGCTTTCAAGAGACACAGGTTTTACGTGTCTGAATAATGGATTTTACATCTGTTGAGTCCAACAAACTCATTGTTTAGAACACCAAGATGCTGTATCGGAGCCTTTACCTTGACAACTATGAAGTTATGGTCTATAAAAATTTCTCTTTCAGACCACAGAGAAGGCATTGATGTCACGGGAACTCTTCTCATGAAAAACAACTAGTATCTTTTCCAGGGCATATTTTATTGGACATACATTTATCTACAGAAATGATTTTAGTTAACCTATGCAGATGGGAATCGCCTTTGAGAAGAATGGGGAAAACAGTGGGAGAGAAAATGTAAAGAACCCATAAAAACCACAACGGACTTGAGCAGGAAGGAACATGGAGGCGATGGACCGCATAAAAAAGAGAGAAGTGCTTAATGACAGCTGAGAAGCACCGTCCTCGTGACCCCAGCGGCCCTGGCGCCCTTCAGTTCCCCAAGAACATCGTCAGCCACAGCCTGTCAACTAACGAACCTGCCACGAAGAACTTGTTTTCTTACTGACCCGGCTTTCCCGTGACAATGACCCCAGCCCTGAGAACCATCAGAGGATGTGGGAATGTGCACAGCAACTAGCAGACAAGGTTGTTCTTCACAAAATCAGCGACAAAACAATACACGCTGGGGACCCAGATGTCTGGGTTTTCTGATCCGGATTATTTTAACTGAGTGATGAAAAGCACTGCCATCGTTTGCTTTAGGAGGGGAGTGGAGAGTAATCGTAGCCAAAACTTGTCCAGGGTTTGCCTGTAAACTTCTGTTTGTACCCTTAAAGCATTAAGAACATTGTAGCTTGGGACGGGGAGGGCTTCCCTTGAGTGGTAGAGTGAGTGCATCCTAGGTTCAATCCCCAGGGCCTCCATCTAACATAAAAAAAGAGTGTTCACTGAGTGCCTACCATGTGCGATACTGTATTATTATCTCATTTTTAAAAAGGCAACATTCAAAGATTACCCTCCTGCTGTTAAATTCCGGTGAAACTGCTTTTTAAATTTTTCATAATACATAATCTGATGGGCTGACCATCTCCATACAGTGAGAGACCCACAAGGCGAGTCAGCGCTTCTGCAGAGCTCCCGCCAGCCCCTCACTCCTGCATCTCCGCAGCATGACGAGCACAGCTGGGCGCGCTGGCCTACAGAACGTCGCCTCCCCAACCCCCCGACGGGCTGGGGTGCGATGCGCATGGGCTAGGGGGCAAGATGCAGAGAGCCAGCTAAATCAACACTGCGCACTTCTCTATCGGTGGTGACCGGGGTGACACCGTCTAGGTCCGCACAGAACTGTGTCGTTTACCAGTGGCCCTCAGGCACCATCTGCAGTGAGCCTGCCTCAACAATCGGGGGGTGAGTTCCAGCCCCAGGTCTGTCTCAGTTTACAGGTGTCACCTTGAGCTATGTTCCAGAAGCTCCCTGAGCCCCGGGTCTGCCATTTGTTGGTGACCTTGTGAAAAGCTAGGTGGCGTCTGGCAAGTGCCGGTGAGACAGCAGCCATGTTTATACTGATAATCAGAAACTTCAGTCTCTCATGTCAGTATCTTGACTTTACAAATATGCCTAGAATCTACTCACCAAAAGGAATATTTATTTCTCTTTTTGAGTTTTTCTCAACTGGCGCTGAGGCTAAGTCCGAGAGCACAGTGGCCTGCGAGGCCGCAGGCGCTGTGTCACGGGCGGAAGTGCATCCTCCAGACTCACGTGCGGAGGCCCTAACCCCCAGCACCTCCGATGGGGCTGGTCCTCAGAAGGGTGATTAACTAAAACGAGGTCATACACATGGTGCCTAGCCCAGGAGAACTGGTGGCCCTCTAGGAAGCGGAGATGAGGACACAGACACCCACAGTGGGAAGGCCATGCGGAGATACGGAGACAAGACGGCCATCTACATGCCGAGGACACGCCTCAGAAAAACATCAACCCCTCAACACCTCAATCTTGGACTTCCAGCAGCCAGAACTGCGAGAAAATAAACGTCTGCGGTTTGAGCCGCCCAGGCTGCGCAGGGCTATGGCCGTGCTGGGAAGCCAGTGCCCGCGTCGCCGGGGCTCCAGCCCGTACTCTCAAACGGCCTTCCTGGCGAGTCACGCGGTACCCAGGAATCACTGTGTCCCAATCCTCTGATGATGGTCCCTTCAGATTCTTCTGAACTCTGCTATCTGGTTGGAAATGACAGAATAATTTCAAATACTTGATCAAGGGTGTTTATATGTGATGGAAATGACTGTGCCCAAGAGAAGTTTTGAGACAACTGACCAGACTGGATCTCGAGGAGCATAAAAGCGATGATTTATTTTTAAATCCTTGTTGAGCACCTGCTCTTTGCCAGTTAGGTCTAGAGGACACTATCGTGATAAACAAGCCTGGGTTTCTATTATGAAGGCATCTGCAATCTGGTTTGGGGAGAGAGAATTTATACAAAAATAAAGATGACGGAAGCCCAGATGTTGTGTGCTGTGAGAGGACACACAATGACACAGGAACTCAAGGGAAAACAATAATTTTTAGAAAAAAGGACTGGCGAAGGGAGTAATCAGGCGCGAATGTACGATTTAATTGGAACTTCGCTGGGCCTTGAATAAAGGTGGCGTTTGGCTCTGGGAGGATTTATGCCTGTGGGCATGTGGGTGGAGGGAACGGTACATTTCAGTGAGAGGGGAACTGTGTGAATGAAGTTAAAAGGAAGGGAGGGGAAACGGAGAGCATTTCCATTTGAATAGAACATAAAATGTGTGAAATGGTTATAAAAAATGGGTTAGCCATGAATATCCATGAAATTGGACTTCACGGAGGAAGCAAAAAGTCTTGATGTGAAAAGAAAAAATGATTCAGTAAAATATTTCACCACCTGTGGCTGAAGTAAGGCAGCGTTACAAAGTTACCTCTGAGGTGCATTCGTATCCCAGTGCCTACACCTGGGAAGCGGCAGGCACTTTTCACTAATTGTTACGCAATAGGAATATTAAGTACCCAGTATGTGCCAGCCAAACACTAATGCACTTAGAACACCCAATTATGTGAGCAGGGAGAGTGGAGAGAGTTAAGGGGTAAATGAAAAATTATGGTGGAGGCAGGCAGGACAGAGTTTTCCAATGAGTGGATGTAGATGAATTATCCGCTGCCGGAGTGGATCACTGGTGTAGAGAATGAAAATCTCAAAAGTCTCCAGAAATATCTGTGATTATACACCAGAAGATTAAGACCAAAAAAAAAAAAAAAAAGAAACACTTTCATTTCTAAAAATACCGGGGGAACAAAAATTATTATTAAAGTTGAACAAATTCCAAAACAATAAAAAAAGAATAGAGGTAGTTCTAAAATATGGAAAAGAAATTAGGGTGGTAACTTCCATCTTCAAGAAGAAAAGTATGGAAAAATAAAAATAAACAAATGACAGTAGCATATCTATTGTAAACTTCAGGCACTTCAAGGGACAAAATATTTTCAAATTTTGATGCAGGAACAAAGAAACTCCTTAAGAAGGAAGACGGTCTGAGAATCTTTTGTGTGCCATAAATACGAGACATAGTACATGAGGAAGTTTTGCCCTGGACGAAATTACAAGGTCTTGAGAGTAAAAAGCTGTCTGGTGGGGGAGTCACAGAATATTCTCGACCACGGCTTCCCTCCCCCACCCTCCCGCATGCTCACTGCTAGGGTGCAGAGACACAGCTCACGTCCACACATCTATCTCGTGTGTCTTCTTTCCTGAGACCCTGATGGACTTGCTAGGAGTTGTCTGGTAGGTTCCTTGTGATTTTCTACAGACGTCACTATGTCATCTCAAAAAGGTTTTCTTTCTTCCTTTCCTTTTCTTGCCTTATTGCACTGGCGAGAACTTTCAGCACTTTGTTAATAAGAGTGGTGAGGATGGGCATCCTTACTTTGTTTGCAATATCTGGGGGAAAGCATGTGACCATTCACCACTTAGCCTGTTAACACAGTGGATCACACTGACTGATTTTTTAATATTAAATATGCCTTAAATTCCTATAATGAGCTCTACTTACTATCTTGTATGATTCTTTAAATATATTGCTATACTCTATTTGTTAGTATTTTGTTAAGGGTTAGGGTTAGGGTTCTTGTTTTTAATTGAAGTGAACCCCATGGATCCGAGACACTGGCCCCAGGCAGGGAGGATGTGGTTCCTGCATCCCTGTGATGTGAGCTGCACCCAAGCCTGCCTTCCCTTAACTCACTCCTCGTCACGAGGAACCTCCCCGTGTGTGGTTACTATCCTGGTCTAATGCTCTATCTTTGGAGAGTTACTGGACAGGATTTTCTAAAATTTAGTTACTCCAGTCTATGCAATGAGGGCAAGTTACCTGCGGGGGAGAAAACAAACCTGCTCTTTGAGAGCTTTGACTTGTTTTTGTTTTTGTTTTTTTAATTTCTGCTGCAAAACTGCCAAAATCCTGGGTGTAACGTTCCTACCATCCTTAACCCTTGTACAAGTTGTCTTGCTGTCTGTTCATATAGGAAGCAAATCAAATGCTGAAAAATAGAAGCTGTGCGAGGATAAAAAGATCAACAAATGCTCCTTATGCATCTGGAACGCACGGGGCATTATGACTGCTGCTCTGCGTGGTCGTGTAAAGAAAGAGATGCAACTGGAGTTAGAAATCAAAACTAAATGGCACGTAAGAAGATAACTCAGCATCCCATCTGCTTCACATGGTTTATTTAAAATGATAAGGAGGTACTTCCTATGGGGTAAGTGGAATGCTGTAGTATTACATACATATTTGACATATTATTTAGATCTCAAAGTATGCGTTTTGCCAATGAATTATTCATTTCACCTCACACAGTGACAGAGCAGTGACAAATTAAATATTACATCACATGCCACACCCAGGGGTGAAAGTCACTTGCTCTATTAATTTTTAAATTCATGGCAAGAACTAAATTAAGATAAGGACACTCTGACAAAAACCTTGTCCTGAGCCAGATGCAAAAATCACTCAGCACTGTCGAAAATAAAAAGAAAGAAATGTCTTGGGTGGAGCCTAAGATATATTTCTTAGCGCTTTACTGATACTGCGTACGTGTGGACGTGACTGGAAGCCCAGGTCCCCATTATCCACTTGTAACCAGACAACTGTTTTTAAAAATGACTCCAGCTGCACCATGCGTGTGTAGTTGCACTACTGAACTGCACACTGGAAAATGGCTGAGGTGGTGAATTTTGTGTTGTGTGTTTTTCACCACAATAAAAATATAAGAATAATAGAACAAACTTTTTTCAAATTAACATGATACTTTGTAAAAATGCCCTGTGGAAAACTGAACAGTCACATGCAAAAGAATGAAACTGGACCACTTTCTCACCATACACAAAACTTAACTCAAAATGGACCAGAGAGTTGAAGGTAAGACCTAAAGCCATAAAACTACTAGAAAACTGCAGGCAGTTTGCTCTTGGCATCAGTCTAAGCAAAGCCTTTCAGGATGTGTCTCCTCCGGCCAGGGAAACAAGGGTAAAAACAAACAAACAAATGCACAAAGTATGTAAACAACTCGTACAACCCAGCATCACAAAAACTAAATAACCCAGTTTAAAAAATGGGCAGAGGATCAGAAGAGACACTGTTCCAACGAAGATACGTGCAGATAGCCAACAGACATGAAAAGGTGCTCAACATCACTAACCATCAGGGAAATGCAAATCAAAACTACAGTGAGACACCCCCTCACACCCGTCAGAACAGCCGTCGCCAAAAAGACGAGCGATAACAAGTGCTGGCGAAAATGTGGGGAGAAGGGATCCCTCGTGCACTGTTGGCAGGAATGTAAATTGGGGCAGGAATGTAAATGTCAATTTGTTCACTAAATGGATGGATGGATGGATGGGTCTGGAGTGGGTGATGAATTCAGACTGGCTCAGAAGTGCTGTCAAGTCCGGGTCTCCTTATGACTTGGGAGCGTGAAATTCGGCAGACAGTGTGTCCGGACCCCAGCAGGAGCACGGATGGAGACAGGCAGCAGAGCGCACCTCCCGGGAGCGGATGCCACGTACACAGGTGAGCCTGGTACCTTCCCTCACGCCACAGCCCAGCTGAGCCCCGGCCCCTGCTCCGGGAAGGGAGTCCTAGATCTCCGCCGGCTCAGAGTCCTCCCTGCACAGGTGCCACCCTCTCCAGCCTCATGGCTCTCGAGGGCACCGTCCACGGCTATGATGCAGCTCCAGGCGTATTTGATCTCACCCAAGTAACAGACACCGAGTGTGTCAGGTCACCTTCCTGAACTGCCAAGGCCCGGCCAGGTGGAAGCTCATCACACTTTCTCAGCACCACCTGCACGCACCTGTCCCACCACACTCCACTGGCTGCGAAGATACAGAAGAGGAGGGCTGTGTCCTACCTACCAGCTTATCCTCACGACACAGCACTGTGTCTGCACAGTACACCCTTGACAGGGTTCAGAGCAGGCCTCCCCTAAATACACCCTTTGGCATATTGATTATTTTGAATTAAAGTTACTTGAGAAACAGCAGGTGTGAGAGGGACGCTCTGACCTCCCTCTGTCCCCCAGAAAGCAGGGGATAAATCTCCCAGGGACAATACCCTCCCTGTTCCAGGAGAGTAGAAGGCATTCTAATCTCCCGAGACCGGGAACTCAGGGTGAGAAGACTGTACAAACAAACAAACAAATCTTGTTCTTTATTAATTTGCTACCCAAACCCAAACTCCTGGGTTTTGTCAGCTCTTCGCACATTTATTGTTCCTCTGTCTAAGTATGAAAGTTGCCCTTTTGGTCACTTTTTTGAGCCCTGTGTCTTTGCGGCTTCCACACATGCAAAATTAAATTTTTTCCTGTTATTATCTGTCTTGTGTTAATCTAAGTATTAGGCCAAAGAACCTAGAAGGAAAGAAAAGGACTCTTCCCTTACATGTTCAACAGATATTTACCTGAATGAACGACATCAAAAAGGCCAAATCCTTGTTTTTAAATATCCAGTTCTTTTGCCATTTTCTGAGTTTAAGCGTATGAGTTCAGGAATCAGACTGTCTGGGTTTGTGCCCTGTGTTCCACGTTTAAAATATATTACATTGGAGAAGCCGGTTCAACTCGTTTGACTCTGTTCTCTCCTCCGTAAACGCGGAGGAGAATGTGATCCATTTCATGGCGCTGTTGAGAGCTTTGAGCGAATGCAGGGGCAAAGCCCTTTGCAAGAGCACCCTGCGGAGTGGGCGCAAACGCGGCTCTTATTTTTGGAATAAACTTTAGAGAACAAGGTAACTGACTTATTTAGTTTCTAAATAACTTCTGCATAATGCACGGCTATAAATGCACTCTTGTTCATGAGCACACAACTGCCATTCAAGCAAGGCTGCTGAATGAATCAGAACTTAAGAGAATGTGTTTGCAGACTGGTTTGCAAGGTAATTCCAAATGAGTTTAATAAACATTTTCCCCCAAACAACTGGGTGTATGCATTTTAGGATTTTTTAAAATTCACATTTCTTTATAGAGAAAAATAGCACAGAAAATTCTGCAGAGCTTTTGAAAGTGCGGCATTTTGCTGTTTAAAATTAAAGCAGCAGAAACCAAATGAAGTCAGCAGAAAGGAGCCCGTCGGGCTTGGCAGTGAGCGTGGAAAAAGGAGAGCTTCGCTCAGTAGGTATGTAGGTTTCAACCACGACCCTAAGAGTCACACTGAAACTCAGACCACATCTGATCTGGGCCAGAGGTGAACATGTGTAAGTAGATACTTCAGGACAAGAGTTATGGACACTGATGATTAATTTAACCAAGTCAGGAGATTCTGAAGCCAGCAGGAATATGCGTGATATGCCAGCTGCTGGAATGCACGGCCTCACCTTGATGGGGAACAAGTCCACGTGGGGGAGGTGGGACCATAGCGGCTCGGGCACGCCTGCATGTCCCCCGTGAACTGACCAAAACCCTACGACTGCGGACGCTGGTTCCCAGCAACGGCGGGCTTCAAAACCGGGCAAAAGTACACACTTGTGAGTTTATCTTCAGCACTTGTTTCTTACATTTTCACACTTCTCATCTGCCTGTAAGACGACGAAAGGGGAAAAAGTACAAACCACGATGTGAAGAAAAAATAAAAAGGACAGTCAGTTTCGGGGGGAGTTAGAGCAAGTCTGTCTGAGGCCCCTGTTTTATACTTTCTGTGTGTGATGTAACAGCAAAAAGTACCTGTGTGCTTATGAAAAGTAGGACCTTGGACAGAGGCTCACAGGTAGAACCCCACGTGAAGACGAGGCAGAGACTGGGGTACACAAGAGAGACCAGAACATTAACTGTGCCACCTTCACCAGGAGCGGGGGCAGGCATGGAGCGGATCCTCCCCCAGCCCTCAGTCGGAACCAACCTCCAACACCTGCACCTCAGACCTCCGGCCTCCAGAACAGTGAGACAGTGCATGTGTACTGTCTCAGCCAGCCAGCCCGGACGACGGGGCTACGGCCCAAGGAAGCTACTGCAGGGGTCATGTCACAGGTGAGCTGGGGCCCCGCCCGGGGTCCCATGTCACAGGCGAGCTGGGGCCCCGCTCGGGGTCCCATCAGGCTGCAACCAAGATGTCAGCTGGGTGGCATTCTCGTCTGGACATGTACTAGGAAAGAATCCCTTCCGAGCTCATTCAGGTTGTTGGCAGAACTCACTTCCCCCCAACTACATATACGACTGAGGGCTACCTCCAGGCCCTAGTGGTGCCCACAGTTCCCCACCACGCGGCCCCTCCAAGGACATGCACAACACGGCCCTTTCCTTCCTCCAGACCAAGCGGGAGCAGGCCTCTCACTCTGCCTGGTAAGACGGAGCCTTAAATAATGTAATGGAATCACTGGGTGTCATGCCGTCCCCACTGGCTGGAAGCAGGTCTGTCCCCACTGATGGACGGGAAGGGATACAGAGGGTGTGACGCACTGGGGTGACCCAAGGCTCTGTCTCCCTGAACCACCATCCATCCTGTGCTTTGTACTTGACATCCTTTCATGAATCAAAAGGACTTTTCTTCCAATTAAAAAAAATACCATACTGTCAGAGTATAACACACTCCAAATTTTATCCTTTTCTGTAATTACAGTTCTGTAAAAATTAGAAGGTAAAATTATTACTACTAATTTTGGAAGGAGTATTAAAAAAAAACTAATAAAACCTCTTTGCTTAAACTTAGGTACAAAGAAGAGAACACCCAGAAAGCACGCATAACCCTTAAGCCCCAGGGAGGGCCGCTGCGGTGAGCGCCTGCAGTCCGCAAACTTTCAATCTCACTGTGTACCTTGTGATACAGAATGTTGATCGTTACTGTTTTTTAAACATGCCACTTAACTTTTGTTACCTTCTTGACAAAATATTTATCTGCTCAAATGGTTTAAACATTTCTAAATAACAATTTTATTTTGAATTCAATCGTATGATTTTAGATTAGTGGAACTGAAGAGTATTGCCCAGGTGAAGTTTGCTCTTGAGAATTTTCATTTTTCTTGTGATACAGAGCATACAATCAACTTTTGAAAATTATCCACGACTACTTGAGCATAAAGTTAATTTCAGTTTACAGGGTACAAAGCTGGATACATCTCTCACGAACTGATCTCAATAAGAAGGCTCGAAGGCACTTCCATTGAAGTGCGCTGAACGGAGGCAAAGCTATTTCAAAGGTGGGAGTTCTAACCGTCTCACGTACAGATTGTTAAATGGAAGCGCACCTTCTTGTCTCAGTTAATGCTTGTTTACTGAAGTAGAGTTGATTTACAATGCTGTGCTGGTTTCTGGTGCACAGCAAAGTGATTCAGTCACACTATGTAAATGCTTTTTCATTACAGTTTATTACAAGGTATTGAGTAGAGTCCCTCAGTTCATGCTGTTCTTCTTTAAAAAGGTGTTGCTGCCACTCGTGTCAGTGTCTATTCAGGACCTGACTTACTTTCACGTACACTTTTCCATTTGTGCATTCTCAGTGTTTTGCTTACGTGCGTCCCCCGCAGGGTGCGGAGCTGAAGTTTGCCTTTGGAGACACCTGAGAGTGCTCTGCTGGCAACAGCTCTCTTACTGCATTAACGCTTGGGCTCTCTCTGGGCCTCATCAGCTTCCTTTCATTTTGATTGTGGTCCACGGAAGCTTCCTTCCGTCTCAACCTCGTTCCTGTCACTCTCCCAGGGACCTGCAGGTCACACGCCCTGGTCTTACAGGTGAGGACCTTCACAGTTCACGGGAGCACATCTGAAGTGAAATTCCACTTTTTTTCAACATCCATATTGAAACACTATTAATAATTCTAAATACTAAATAATACAAAAAGGGACATATCCGATGGGAAAATAAATTTGGGGCATTAAGAGACCATTTCCTCCCATCCAAGTACTAACCAGGCCTGAACCTGCTTAGCTTCCGAGATCAGACGAGATCGGGCGCGTTCAGGGTGGTGGGGCCGACAAGAGGCCATTTCCTAACTCAAACAACTTACTGAAACTTTGCTGGTGAATAGCCTAGTTCTGGAACAGGAAGGTGCCTTCCCCCGGGGATGTTACGGATCGTAAATAAATGTGAAACGCTGCACTTGGAAGATAACTTAACATCCTGGGGCCTTGTGCGAGGCTGTTCCCAGGCGAATGTTTCGTGCTCCGTGTAAAGTGGGGATCACCAGCGGAGTCTGACTCATCACCATTTCACTGTTGTATTATTTCCAGGCTGTTCTGTATTATTTCCAGGCTATTTAGTGTCCTTTCTCCTGCTATGAAGTTTGTTCTCACCTTGATTTCAACAAGCTTTTCACATAAGATGTTTTGTACGAGCAGAACGAAGGGGAGCAGGAGATGTCCTTGCAGCGTTCTGTTAAAAATAGCAACAACTTTCAAAGACAAACCTGAGAACGCTCTTGCAATTTAATTGGTTCATTAAAGACTTTACAGGAATTGCTGAAATCTTACTTCTGTAGTCATACTTTAAAGGCTTTTTATAAGTTAAACATGAAACAGCCACAGCATCATGAAATATTATGGTAATAAGATGAGTCTCTTATGGAAGAAATTAAACTTTCATCAGCTTACAAACATAAGCCCAATTTATTTGAGCTAAGGTTATGAGTAAACATAAATTTATTTACATTGGTACATAAACTACACTGTATTTAAAATTACTTGATGCTTTAAAGACAGAACTGAATGTGAAGTGCGTGGCTGGAAATGCACGACCAGATGGTCCCATAAGTCCCAGGAGAAAATACGCATCTGCTGGCTCTTGTGAAACTGTTTTGTTTGAAGGAGGTTTTATTTAATCCAGTGGCCTGGTGTCTGAGCACATCACTCGTCTGGTCTTGGGAAATTGTACCACCTGTATTCGGTGTTACTTTTTTTATTTCTGGAAGGAATAGAGAGTTAAGTCGTTTGCTGCCTGGTACTCCAGGAAAGGCTTCACGCTCTGTGGAAAATCAAGTTTATCAGTAGAGTCTGATTTATAACACAAACAAATGTGCCGATTATAGAGTTTGTTGCAGTAAGCAGATGGGTAATGAGGACTTATGAATATTATTTAATTGCATCTGTAATCCTACAAGACGCTGCAGAGGCCCTTCATCTATTGATTAGATGATACGGAAAATTGCCTTAAATTGATGGTAAAATGTCAAGTGTTGCATTTACAGTCTGTTAGCACAGGACTCCAAATGAGAAGTCCAGCCAGCTGACGGAGAGGTCCCGTGTTCACTGCAGGCGGGAGAGGCTTGAGGGAGATCCCACAGCTTCGCAGACAAGAGGCCGGGAGGGGGACGGCGGCAGCTGCCAGGCAGGGTGTTTGCTTCTTCCTCGGCGTGGTCCCCGAGATTCTAGGTCAGAGCAGCTTTAATCTTAAAAGAAGAAAAACCACCAAAATGGTGTTTATGACTAAATTCCAGGTCCTGCCTCAGCTCCCAAGCAGAAGTGGTTTCCTCACGGCCTCAGTGTATTTTCCGCCCACACAACAGTGTGCACGAAATGATTAAATGGAAACCCTGTGACCTTCAGTGACAACCTCAGTGCTGTCACGTGGGAAAGCGCGGGTACCCTGTGGTCCCCAAGAGCCTAGGCCTGATGGGAACGCAGCTCATCCAAAGGCAAGAAGAAAGGTCTGCCCGACAGGGAGTGGCTGGTCACAGGGGCCCGGGAGCTGCAGCCGCGGCCGGGACCCCAGCCCCTGGAGGAGGGGCCCTCCCCTCGGGGCCCTCCCCTCGGCTCCCATCCCCACGGAACCTGGCGGCTCGTGTGCGCTCGTGTGGACGGAAAGGGCTGCGGGAGGCCCCGGGAACAGAGCCACAGAGAGCCCCCCAGAACGACGGCAGCCCTGGGGGCCCAGCCCAGCGGAGGACTCAGGCAGCTCAGCTCTGGAAGATTCCAAGGTCAGATTTCTGCCCTCAGCGCTCCGGGGTGTGTGCTTCCCTTCCTGCCCAAGCTTGGAGGGGCTGAGGTCACGGCGAGGTAGCCACCTTCCACCCGGTTTCAGCCCTGGAGGCACCTCCACGACCCGGCCACACGCCCTGA